CTGCAGCATACAAGTCCCTACCACCTACACACCAAGTTGTAACCAAGCTGGTGGTCTTTTGGGTGATTCTTTTTCTACAGGTGATTTTTTTTCCCTTCTTTTTCTCCCCTGTATTTTCTCATCTCCTACTGTGATAGACATATATTACTCTAACAAAGTACAAAATAAACACTTTATTTTAAACAAATATTAACTTTTACCTGCTGGTTTGCGTCCTAAACTTCTTCTTAAGGCTTTAGTCTCAAGAATTGGGAATGGTTACATTTTATACTGCGTATTACTCTGGGTCTAATCAGGAGACAGAAACCACACAGTAATTTAAGCAGAGGAAGCTGGTATAAGGAGGCATTAAGCTATAAAAGGAGAGTAAATACAGCTCTTTAGACCCTTTCCATTTCCATAAAGAGAACTCTCAAGGGTTCCCTAAAGCTGAGTTAGAGTACTCAGGAAGGACAATTAGAAGGGGACCCCTTGCCTTGCAGTTGGGATTCAGAGCTCATTGGGAAAGGTGTGATTGCAGCCCAGGGATGGCAGAGAAGTCTGGGGCGGAGCCGCTCCACAGATGCCATACAAGCAGGAAATGATCTTCAAAGGTGGACTGAGGCTGGAGAGAGGGAGTCAGAGCACCACCTGGGGCACAAGGTTGATGTGGTGTGCTGCCTCAGGAAGGCCGGGGAAGGCACGCCCCAGGCCTGAGCTCAGGCTGCAAGCCAGTTACTGTTCTGGGCATGCAGCTGGAACAGGGTGCCGCAGGATGGTCCCGCATACCCGCACCACTCATCAGGCAGCAGGTACAAGTAAAAGCACAAAACACAGCACAAAGGAACCAGGAAGGGACACCTGGGTGGCTCAGTCAGTTAAGCGTCTGCCTTCTGCTCAGGCCATGATCTCAGGGTCTTGGGATCGAGTCCCGCATCGGGCTCCTTGCTCGGCAGGGAGCCTGCTTCTCCCTCTGCTTGCTGCTCCCCCTGCTCGTGCTCTCTCTCTCTCTGACAAATAAATAAAATCTTAAAAAAAAAAAAAAAAGGAACCACGAAGAGAAGCCCCTTTCTCCTGCAATGTCCCTCCAGCTCCCTCCACTGGCAAACCTTAGCATTGTGCTTACTGTCCGGTAGAAAATGCGTATGGTCCACTATTCCCAGAGCAGAAGAGTGAATCTGGAGGGGCAAGGCAATAAACCGATAACTGGGCACAAGCTATTTTCAGTAATTAGAACAGGGACTGGCAAACTTGTTCTGCAAAGAGTCTAAGAGTAAATATTTCAGCTTTGTGAGTCATACAGTCTCTGTGAAAACTACTCGATTCTGATATTGTTGCACGACAGGTAGTATAGACAACATGTAAACAAGTAAACATAGCTGTGTTCCAATAAAACTTTATTTACAAAAACAGCCAGTGAGTAGATCTGGTCCACAGATCATAGTTTACCAACTCTTGATTTAGAGCTTTAGATTGAATAATCTCTGTTCCGTGAACAGGATTATATTGAGAAGAAAGGGAACAACACAAGTGCATAGAGCTGAGGTGGCTGGTGGGGGCTGAGAAAAATGAATTTAAATGGAGATATAATGTCTACATTCTTGGAGGGTTTTCTGTCCAAATTAAGTGAGTGCTATGGACTGAATGTTTGTGTCTCCTCCAACTCAAATGTTGAAATCTTAACCCCCGATGTGATGGTGTTTGGAGATGGGGCCTTTGGGAGGTAGGTAGGTCATGAGGATGGAGCCCTCACGATGGGATTCATGTCCTTATAAGAACAGACAGGAGAGAACTTGTGCTCTTTTGCTCTCTCTCTGCTATGAGGATACCAGGGGCTGGCTATCTGCAACCTGGAAGAGGGGTCCTCCACCAAACACCAGATCTGCCAACACCCTGATCTTGGACCTCCCAGCCTCCATAACTGTGAGAAATGTTTGTTGTTTAAGCCACCCAGTACATGGTAATTTGGCATAGTTCCCCAGACTGCCAGCGAGCTAGGATATTAAAGGATGGAACAGGGTACTTAACAAATTATCATCTCTAAAGGCCTGTGCAAGGCAAAATAAGTCCACATTGTGGCCTCCTCTCTTGAGGAAGTTGAGGCTCAGAGGAGCTAAGAAACTTGTCTCAACTCATATAGCCTGGCTGAGCTGGCATTTGAACAAGTAGTCTGTATGATTCTTAAGCCCACCTTCCTCACCACCATGTCCACTACCTCACCCACAAGGGGCAGGTGCATGTTCCCAACCTGGGCTCCTGTCTTTAGTGGGTACCATAATAAACTTGGATTTAACACCTTTGATCTTTGGCAGGCTAGGACTCCCAACCTGAAGGAAATCAGCACTTAACCTGTTTGAAACCCATCTTCTGAAATGTCCAAGGCACTTAAAGATGAGAGGGGAGAGATATCTGGCCATTCAGTGGTGCGTCCACTGTTTGCCAAGTCAGTTCTGCTGAAGTGGCTGGCTAGAAATCAGTGTCCTATTTCAGGCTCCCCTTCCCATGCCCTCTCCTTCCATGACCTTCCTTAATCAAAGGTGGAACATTTGTGGGGCTTCCCCTTAAAACTTACAGACACTATAGCTGTTTTCTTCTTGATTTTGACCACGCCTCTAAGATGAGGTTTATCAAAATGAATGGTAACTATTTTATTACTGCTTATTGACAGTACATTGGTCTAGGTACTGTGCATATATCTTTCCAGTTTGACAACAATCCTGGAAGGTAGCTATTATTGTCCCCACTCAATGACAAAGGTGACATTTACACAGCAGACATTACTAATCTTTGAGGTAGGCAGTGGAATGGGATTCTATGTAAAGAGGAGAAAACCAAGGTTTGGAGAGGTGGGCTTGCTCACTCATCTGCACCTAAATCCACATCTCTAGATACTTTACTTGTGGAAACATAAAGCATGGCATCCATTTCAGGATCAGACAGAGCCAGGTCCAAATCCCAGCCCTACCTCTTACTAGTCACCTGACCAATTGCTCCTTTACCCTAACAAGAGCAATTCTCCCTGGCATTTCTGGATGTCTTGTAAAGGCTTTTATTCTGGACTATTTCTTCCAACGAAGTGTGTACAGCAAACATCCCTGGAAGATAGAGTTTCCCTCCAGGTCAGAGAAGACTTGCTTTCTGTCTAGGATGATGAAGATATTGTCCTCCCTCTGGGGCAAAGGTTGAACATGTTTGCTAGTAGCCCCCACTAAAAGATTAAGATTTACTAAGCTTAGTAGGGTCATTCACCTGTGACACAAACCCATTATACGTAAAATCAGGGCCCATCTCTCCATTACCCCCTGGGATTTGGGCACAAGGGGAGCCAACATAAACATGAACCTCATGCTGTCTGCTGTGCCAGTAATACCAAACTCCTTTGTTTCTGACCATGCTTGTCTTCTGCCAACATCTAGGAACCTGGCAGGCTAACACGTTAGAATGTAAGTAGGATGAGATCCCAAGCCCTTTACAGTTCCTAACACTCTCATCTGAATGTCAAAAGCGTCAGTAATGCTCATTTTCCCACCTCCCCCTAACCTCAACCTCCTGCAGTTTGGCATCAACCCCCAGTCCCATACTGAAGCTGTTTTTGTTGATGTCACCATGGCTTTCATGCTTGCCCTTATTGGTCCCCTTCATGGATTCCTTTTCCTTCAGCAGCCTCATCAATGCCCTTCTTGCCTCCCTTGCGGCTCCTCCTGGGTGATCTCACTCCCACTGCTGGTTTCAGGAACCTTGTGTATAGTGATGATGTCCTGAACTCTAGCTCCATGTGCTGGCCAGCTCCACCTCACTCTGGTGGTCCAAGAAGGAACCCCTCCTTCCCAGGCCCTCCACATCGCCTAACCCTCCCTCCTGGCTCCATGCTCTCACTGGGTGCACCCAGCTACCTCCCTGCTCCAGGAAGTCATGTCTGACCCTTCACTGCTTCTCACACCCCCAGGGCCAAGCTATCTTTGAATATTCTTTTTCTATTTCAGGCATTTGTACACGGCCCAGGTCAACCAGGCCCACTCCTCCTGCTACTCTTCCCCCTCAAGTCCCAATCTTCCCTGCCTTGGGTGACTATAGTGCCCAGCTAACAGGGCTTTCTGCCTCCTGTTGACCCCCCTAAAGCCTTCACGCCATTGTTGCTAGCGTTATGTTCCAAAAATAGAAACCCAATCACGTCGTTTTCCTGCTTTCAATCCTTCCCTTGCTCCCCACTGCCTGACAGCATCAAGGTTATTAACAACATAGTTCACCATGCTCTCTAATATTATGTCCCACCCACCTGCCAAGCTCCTCCCTCCAGTCCTCCTCCCATCTGTCTTCTATGGCTACTACCACTCCAAATGGAAAAAAGGTGGGGAGGAGGTATCTCAAAATAACACTCATTAAAGGGCACTAATTGGTTCTAATGTGTGTAACCTGGGACCAGGAAGTCCTCCAAATTTGCATTAAACACTAGTCGCACATTTTCTGCCTGTCTCAAACCTATCTGAATGTTCTTAGTTTTTCTTAAAAAAATAAAATCATAGTTTGGATTAGGAACCCTATTTCTATCTAATTATTCACTATCAACTTTATATGTTTCTCAGGGTCCCCTTGAGAAACAAGCCAAGCTATTCCTTCATTCTAGCCAGTTAAGGTGCTTATGGAATAGGGTTTCTCAGTGGATATATCCATCAAGTGTGTGTGTGCGTGTGTGCATATCCATCTCCAAATATATATATCTCCATATCCACCAAATACATATATATCCATCTCCCTGCAAATATATGTGTGTGTGTATATATATATATATATATATATCCATCTCCCTCCAAATAAATATAGATCCACCTCCCCCAAATATATATATATGGATGATATATATATGGAGATGGATAGATCTCCATTTCCACCAAACACATATATATGCATCTCCACCAAATATATATGTATTTCTCTTCTTCGCCCTCTAAGCAAACAAACCCACACCCTTGAACGTCCACCAGGAGGCGCCGGGGGCGTCGCCAGACCTGCGGTACCTTCACCATTGGAGAGACCGCGAGGGATGCAGCAGCGATGGAACCCGGCTTCCTTTTTCAAGAATCAGCGTGAGGGAAGGGAGCAGAGCCGCGGGATTTTAGGGAGCCCTTGTCCCACTCCCCCTCCCGCGTGTAGGTAGCGTCTGGGATGTGTGCGGGCCCCATGGAGAGACGCTGGCGGTGGCTGCGGTGGCAGCTGGGGCTCCTACCGCGGCTGCAGCCGGCAGTAATCGGACCCCGCGGGCGCGGGGATTGAAGACGCGCAAGGGAGAGCGGCGAGCTGCGAACAAAAGCCCTCGGCGCGGGGCCCGAGCCCGGGACGTGCGGTGAGTGACCCCGCCCGGAGACCCGGGAGCGGCGGGCACTGGCGTGGCCGGGCTGAGTCCCCAGAGCCCACCTCGCTGGGATACCGTAGGGGGACTCGGAGGGCACCCAGGGGCAGGTGTCCAAGGCTAGATTGGGGTGGATGGTGCCTTTAGCACATTCAGACTTGGAGGGGATCGGGTGCATTTGAGAGGACACAGACGCCTTCTCCGTCCCCAGCCAACACCGGGGGTGGGGGTAGGGGGGACTGGCATAGCTCCCAGCAAGCCCTGCCCAAAAGACAGAACAAGAATCGAACACCCCTCTCGGGGAGGCCTTTTGTAATTGAGGCATTTCTTTCAGCCCTTCCATCAGCCCCGGGCCCGGGTCTCCTTTGGCAGGGGGCAATCATATAATATGCATCATGTAAATTTAATCATACAAATCACAGGGCCTCTGAGCCTAATCCCAAATAAACTTCTTCCCTAGGCAAATGGGGTCCTCGCAGCAATGCACTTTGAGGATGAACAGGCCTCTTCGTTTTTTGTTCCTGCAAAGCTGCATCCCCGGTCCCCGCCTAAGCTACAAACAAATACACTAATCCTCCGGGGAATCCTCCACTGCCTCCCTGGCCCACTACTGCCTGCACCGCGATTTTTTCATCTTAACTTGCAGCAGGAAGTAGATGCCTCCAGCGGGCCAGACGCCCTGGGAAGCCGGGCCCCAGGCCCCTGGCCGGCACACCCGGGCTGAGGGAGGTTGAAGCTTTTCTCTTTGCACCGGTCCCCGCCCCCTCCCTCCCGCCCCCCGCCTGGGTTTTCAGGGCATTGGTATTATGATTTACGTTCCACTGGGCCTCTGAGCCTAATCCCAAAGCTGATTAAGTTGGGAGGGGGTGTATATGAATGGGGCGGGGACCCATTCTGCTCTCATGTATTCCTCGGTGTCCCTACCTTGTCTTCCGCAGGGACTCCGCAAAAGGACAGGGCTCAGCCATGGTGGACCCCGTGCCGGAAGAGGAAAAGGCGGGAACCGAGCCTGAAGGTTCGGAAGGGGACGCAGCCGCCGCATCTGTGCCCCCCGACGCACAGGGCGCCCAGCAGTCCGCCGCCTCCTCGGCCTCGGCCTCCGCCTCGGCCTCGGCGGCGGCGCCCCACAAGGCTGAAGTCCCGAGCGCAGCGGAAGAAGGCGGGGGGCGGGAGCAGTCTCCGCTGCTGCACCTCGACCTCTTCAACTTCGACTGTCCGGAGGCGGAGGGCAGCCGCTACGTGCTGACCAGTCCCCGCTCGCTGGAGGCCTGCGCGCGCTGCGCCGTCAAGCCAGTGGAGCTGCTGCCGCGGGCCCTGGCAGACCTGGTGCGCGAGGCGCCGGGCCGCTCCATGCGGGTGGCCACCGGCCTGTACGAGGCCTACGAGGCGGAGCGGCGCGCCAAGCTGCAGCAGTGCCGGGCCGAGCGAGAGCGCATCGTACGCGAGGAGAAGCGGCGCCTCTTCACGCCGTTGGGGCCCGCGGCCGCCGCCGCCTCGGTCCCCAGCGCGGGCGGCAGCAGCAGCAGCTGCAGCAGCGCCAGCCTCCCGGCCTCGCCCGCGCCGCGTGCGACCCGCAAGGCCTCTTCCAGCCCATCTCCAGCCCGGACGCAACCACCGACCGCGGCGTCGCGGGCAGGTAGGAAGAGCCACTCGCTAGACTCGCTGTCCCGCCGGCGCGAGGGCGCCCTCAGTTCCGAGTCTGGAGCGTCGTCGTCGTCCTACAGCGGGGAGAGCCTGCGGGAGCTGCGCTGGCCTCTGCGGGCCTCGGCCAGGAACAGCTGCCCGGCGGGCTCCGCGTCCTCCGCCCCCAACCCCCTGGGCCGCCCTTCCGCCCTGGCCTTGGTGCCGCTCACCGGCCGCAGCTTCAGCCTGGGTGACCTGAGCCACTCTCCGCAGACGGCTCAGCACGTGGAGCGCATCGTGCGCCAAGTGCGCGCCGAGCGGGGCCTGCGCGGGGTGCCGGATCGCGACCGAAAGATCGCGGCGCTGATGCTGGCGCGCCACCAGGAGGAG